CAGTTGCAGTTGAGTAGGTGACAGTGTTACCGTTTGTAAACATTCACTTTTATTGATTTGGCTGTTAAGTGTTTTGTAATTTGGGAGCAAACACATTTTCTGGGGCCTTTGCAAAGCTCATGGGTCAGAGGCCAAGGCCTGTTGTGCATAATGGAAGATCGGCTTGGTTGAGGATTTGTACAAGTGACCTTGGGCAAGCTGCCAACCTCTCTTGGCCTCTGTGTGATCAATCGCCCGTTGACAATAAGGAGGCTTGCATTTCTTCCCTGTGTACTGCCCTTCCGGCTGGAGGAGTAGAGGGGATAAACTGAGTGTTGCTGTAGAGCCAAGTAAACCCAGTTCCTTCGGGGTCTGTTCAACACTCGCCGAAATACAGAGAATAGTCTAGTGAATTTCCATGTACCCATCGCTCGGGTCCAGCAATCAGCCCAGAGCCCATGACTACGCCTTGTTCCATGTCTGTGTCCACCTCCTCCCCTCCCTTTGACCCAGACATAATATTATTTCATTTCTTAATATTCCAGTATGTGTCTCTAAGAGGAAATGGTTCCACTTGCGAAACACAAGCACAGAAAACAGCAATTCCTAATTTGTGGGGCACCTGGGTGGCTCAGTCAGTTAAGCATCTGACTCTTGGTCTCAGCTCAGGTCTTGATCTCAGGGTCGTGAGTTCAAGCCCCACACTGGGCTCCACACTGGGCTCCACACTGGGCTCCACACTGGGCTCCACATTGGGCAAGTAGCCTATTAAAAAAAAAAAGTAAAAAGACCTAATTTGTTTATTTGACTCAGGATTCAAACAAGATATATGACTGGTTAGGCGGTCTCTTCAGACTCCATTCCCCTCCCCCATCCCAACTCCTCCACAGGCTGGGTCCCACTGCCAGTATCTTTGTGGGGTTACTTAATATTTCCTTTGTCGCCTAAATTTCCTGTAGACTGGAAGTTAAATCCAGAGGCTTAATCAGATTTTTTTGGACATATCTCTTGGCAAAATTACTTTACAGGTGGTATTGTGTTCTTCCATCAGGAGGCACATAATAGCTGTTTTCCTGCTTGTTAGCAGCTGTTGATTTATTCACTTATTAGGATTTGCAAAATGGGGGGAATTGCTGCATCAAATGATAATCCTACTGTTAATCTTCTGAAGAAACTTCTCATTCTTTTTATGGCTACAAAGTACTCCATTGTGTGGATGCACTATTGTTCATTCTGCCAGGTCTGACTGATGGACATTTGTTGTTTTCCAGGCATTGGTTATTAAAAACAGAGCTGAAGGGCACCTGGGTGGCTCAGTTGGTTAAGCGACTGCCTTCGGCACAGGTCATGATCCTGGAGTCCTGGGATCGAGTCCCACATCGGGCTCCCTGCTCAGCGGGGAGTCTGCTTCTCCCTCTGACCCTCCTCCCCTCTCATATGCTCTCTCTCTCTCTCATTCTCTCTCTTTCAAGTAAATAAAGAAATAAATCTTAAATAAAAATAAAAATAAAATAAAAACAGAGCTGAAGAAATAGCCTTATCTCTCTCTCTCTCTTTTTTTTTTTTTTAAAGATTTTACTTATTTATTTGAGAAAGAGAGAGCACGAGGGGGCTTCTACTTCATGGCAAATACCACGCTCTATACTATAGGGGAAGAGGGTCGATACACTGTTCCTCCTTCTTTGAGGGGGGTGAGAGCAGAAGCTCAAGAGCTAAAAGTATCATAAAAAAAGAGGCTTGGGCCTTATTTTCTGAGGAACGGTCAACACATCTGCTTCAGTGAATCGATGTCTCTTGTCAGAACTCTACTGACTAGAGATACAAGCTCTGGGAGCAGGAGCAGATGGGGGAGTGGAATGGCTGGGACAAACCTTTAATGATATGGGAAGCTATCAGTCTTTAAATAACCAAGTGAAGCAACAAAAAATGCTTTCTAAAAGATGGGCTTGGGGCACCTGGGTGGCTCAGTCATTAGGCGTCTGCCTTCGGCTCAGGTCATGATCCCAGGGTCCTGGGATCGAGCCCCGCATCGGGCTCCCTGCTCGGCGGGAAGCCTGCTTCTCCCTCTCCCACTCCCCCTGCTTGTGTTCCCTCTCTCGCTGTGTCTCTCTCTGTGTCAAATAAATAAATAAAATATTTTTTAAAAATCTTAAAAAAATAATAAAAGATGGGCTTGAAGTTTAGAGGGGGAGAGATCATTTCTAGCGTGGGGGCTCTAGGAGCAATATGTTGAATTGATTTTGCTATGAAGTAGAAATAAATATTGATGAGTGGGTGGGGGTGATAAATCAATTCAATTTGCAAATACATCTGCAAATTGATTTTGGGTGGGTTGGTTTTCAAGGACTTGGTCGGCCAACGGCATGTGCTATGAGTATATGGAGGGGTCCTTTGGGAGAGTGGCAGCTCTCACCTCCCCCCAGCACCTAGAAGGCAGACCCTCAAGGTCCAGAGCAGGGTAGGGCCACAGGAAGTGGAGGGCCCCTCTTACTTGCCTCTCTGGAGGGACACCTGCATGATGTCAGACCTGTTCTACTCACCTCACAGCATCGCTGTGACAATCGACACTGTAGAATTTGACTGATGGTCAAGTACCCCACAATATTATTATCGTTCATGGAGCCTGGATTTTGTACCCACTGCCCCTCCCCACCCCAGCCATTCACAGCTCAGCAGCTCTGACCCGGCCCCTCCCTTAGGACTCTGAGGTGACCTTGATGCCCCAGGCTCCTAGAATCAGACATTGCTTGAGTTAAAGGGACCATAGAAATCGTGGTATCCCTCTCGGTGTTGGCACTGTTGGTTTAGGTGAAGGACAGTGGCAGGTGTGGACCCCCAGCTCCATTAGGACTTACTTTCCTGGGAAGCCGGGGATCCTAAGGGAACGTGTCCTGCCCCTCAGCTGCATGCAGAGGGAGGAGTTGCCCGGGTTGTCTGGTTCTTGTCCAGCCTGCCCCAAGCACAGGCCTCGTCCAGATCCAGGACCCGCTCTTCTGGGCTGAACTCAGCGTGGGCTGGGGGCGCTGCTCACCACTTTAGCCCCTTTCTCTGCTGGGCTGCAGGAAAATTAAGCTGTTCCTTCTTAGAACGAAGTGAGCTCTGCGCACTCCTCAACCCCTGGGGAGTCCCACCCACGTCCTCTGACAGAGAAACTACCAAGAACCTGCCCGAAAAGATGAAACCAAGTAGACACTATCCTGTGACTTGGGAGGGGGCCAAAGGCTTCTCCCTCTCCCTCCACATAAGCATTATGATTATTTTCATAGAGAAAACCAAGTCTGTGGGATCAGATCTCACAGGCCTGGTGTGTGGAGTTAATGGGTGTGTCAACTGGAGGAACGATAGGGTGACACTGGGGCTCAATGTTCCTAAACTTGTCTGACCTACCACGGAGGCCCTCGGGTCTCTTCCTGCCCAAGTAAGTGAAATAGACCGTTGGGAGCCATACCAGCGCCCAGGCAGCTCAGAGGCTGGAGGAAGGAGGCCAGCATTGGGGCTGAGCTGAGCCGTCAGGTGAGGATGCCTTGGGGAGCAGGCCTTGGCAGGGAGCCTGCTAGAAGGTTAACCAGTACCTTGCCTGACTTCATGGTTCCTGGGAGAAGAGATTCAGGCACCTGGGGCCTACCTTGCCAAGAAGACTGTTTTGGTTTGTAAGTTTCCAAGGCATTTGTGTCCAGAGAAGCTGAAGTTGAAGCATGTGCATACAGACAGGAAGTTTTGTCATCTCTACTCCTGGCATGTGGGAGTCAGCTGCCTGTACCAGTGCCCCACAAGGCCCTAAAAAGAGAACACAGGGCTGTCCTCTGTCCTTCTGAAAGCTTTGGGTGACTGTTGAAAACCTAGCTTTACCGTCTGGAAGAGAAGCTACTCCAGTAAGATCTCTGCCTTGTCAGGATAGCCCTCGATGTAAATGTGTATAAAATTCATGCAGATATATAAAACTTCTTGCTTCCATTGTGATCCCTGCGAGGAAAGGTCCATCTGGTTCCACCCCCGCTCCAAGAGACTCCCCAGAGGTCTCCCTGGATCTCCCAGTTTGGGCATATTCACTGTACCCCAGGACTTGCGTATATGCTGTTCCCTCTGCCAGGGGACTTTTGCCCCAGATCTTTGCTGGGCTGGCTTCTTGGTACTGATGGCTCAGCTAAAGCGTCAGCTCCTAGAGAGCTTCCCTGACCTCTATCCAAAGTGGCCCATCCCCCTAGGACTCGGTCTCTCTCTATGCCACTACTCTTTCTTCTTTATAATTGTTAATATTATTTTCTGTTTAATATGCTGACTTATATTCTCCAACCTCCACTAACAGGAACATGAGCTCCCTGAGAGCCAGGCCACTCCGTAGCGATCACTGCCATATCCCAGTGCCTGGAACGGTGCCTGGAACAGCGCCTGGCACCTGGTGGGTGTTCACTCCATAGCTGCGGAAGCAGTGGGTGGTACTTGGGTTGAAGGAGAAAGGAAGAAGGTGGTTTGGAGAAAGACATGGAAATGCAGGGCGGAGATGCCTTTTCTTTCCACCGGCTTTCTTCTTCTTGTGCCTCTTAAGGGGCTGATCACATGAGGAAAAAGGCATCCCACGGCCCCCTGTCCCTCTGAGTGCCCTCACCAACGGGGAGGCTGGGGTTAGGCCAAGGGACTGTCCCCGACAGAGGCGCATCTGGGGCAGCAGGACCCATACCCGCCACTGCTCTCTGTCTAAACCAAAACACATCTAGCCCCGGGAGCAAAGCCATTGGAAATTTTTCTCTGTGGCGCTGGAACCGGGAGCCCCATGCTGGAAAAAATGGGGTGGGCCCCTTTGACTTGCTGAACTTTATTTATTTTTTATTTATTCGAGAGAGAGAGCACGAGAGGGAAGAGGGTCAGAGGGAGAAGCAGACTCCCTGCTGAGCAGGGAGCCCGACGTGGGACTCGATCCCGGGACTCCAGGATCATGACCTGAGCCGAAGGCAGTCGCCCAACCAACTGAGCCACCCAGGCGCCCGACTTGCTGGACCTTAAAAGTAAAGTGACACAGGTGGGAACGGGTTGAAGGAACCAGGCTTCCTTCTATTTATTTGGTCAGTCCACAAGCTCCAAACTCTTCTAGCACAAGCAGGGTGCCCTTAACCCTGCCTTGTGTTGGCCCCACTTGCTGGTTGGGTTGAGTTCCTTAGAAGCAGAATCTGAGCTGGAGGTTTTTGTGCACAGGGCACGTTGAGCGGGAGCTCTCGGGATGACAACTGGCAAGAGAGGGAAGCAGGATGGGGCAAGGCTGTTTCGGCTCAGGTCCGATCACAGCTCGATTCTCTTGGAGTTCTGGAGCAGGGGTGGTGGCACAGAGCTGGTCCACCTTGACACAAGATGACAAGGGGACGGGCCTCCGTAGCCCTAAGCCACACCGTCCTCACTGCAGGTCGCCCCCCGTGGGGTGTCACGACTAGGTGGCTCCTGTCCACCGCGGCAACTCTCTGGAGAAGGGGACAGCTATGACAACATTCACAGTTGGGATTAGAACCCAAGGCAGCACCCAAATTTCCCTGTTGCCAAGGGCAGGCGCAGGGGATAGTACGTGTTTTCTAATGCACTCACCTGGAGTCGGAGTTTTGTGTTTCTGTGTGTTAGCCTTGTTGCTCTCCCTGGTCGGAAAGCTCTCACTTTGTCCTCTTACGACATTGACCCGCTGCTCAGAAAACCCATGAACGGAAACTCCCTGGGGAAACACACACACACACACACACACACACACACACACACACACAGGGAAGCAGCCTCAGAGGTCAGGTGCGTGGGACTTCCAGAGGAAGTGAGAGCTGGCCACCCGGGTCAGCTAGCCAGAGCCCACCCCTGCCGCTCGCTTTGCCCTGGGACCCAGAGCGAGCCTCTCTGCCCCGAGCCAATGCTCACTAGTCCCCCCGCGGACAGCAGAACTGAGCCCCTTATTAGTGCCACTGCCACCATGTGTCCCCTCAGGGTCTGAGAGGCTTTGGAAAGGCCCGGCCACAGACTTTGCACTTACAAAGCAAAGAGGGTCAGACTCTCTCCTTCTCTCCCCTGCTCCTTCCTCCCTGTCTTTTGTCTAATGTGCCATTGCCCGAGGGCCCGGCCCTAGGATGCCCGGGAATGGACAGAAGGACAGACAAAAGGCAAAAAAGACGTTCCTAGGACAACTGGGAGGCCGGCGTCGCCCCCGTTCTCTAACAGTACTGAGAAAGGACGCGCCCATAGACGCTAAGCCTGAACGAGAGCCAAGGCTGCGGCTGGGCTGTGGCTGCAAACCCATCTGGAGGAAGAAAATAGCGCAAAGAAAGATGTCATTCAGGCCACAAACGGTCTGTCTCTCCTGCTCCATGTCTCCCTCGCCCTCTGAATTTTTTCTTCCTACTCACGGGCACCAGCCTGTTCTGTCCTGTGACTGGTACGTGGGGGGGACAGGAGAATGGGCTCCCCAACTCTGCCCGACCAGATGGCAGCACGCCGCGGGTCCTGGAGCCCACAGGGATCCAGGCTCAGTGCTGCTCCCCCAGACGCCAGCTGTCAGCCCCGTGGGTCTTCTGTTTGCTACCACCGAGGGGACCAAAGATTTTTCTTTCCCTCAAACCATATAGTTGGGGGGCCCCTGGGTGGCTCAGTTGGTTGATCGACTGCCTTCGGCTCGGGTCATGATCCCAGGGTCCTGGGATCGAGCCCTGCATCGGGCTCCCTGCTTCGCGGGAAGCCTGCTTCTCCCTCTCCCACTCCCCCTGCTTGTGTTCCCTCTCTCGCTGTGTCTCTCTCTGTCAAATAAATAAATAAAATCTTTAAAAAAAAAACCATATAGTTGGACTCAGAGCCTTTTCTTTCAGGAGGGCTTATGGGGGGCTGATGGGAAAGGCAGCTGACACAAAGGATGGGGGCCGCCAGCTTCCCCAGGGAGAGTGACTTCTAGGCCAAGACCTTGTAGTATCTCTTTGTGTCCACCTGGCGTGGACAGTCAGTTGGGGTGAAAAGCGAGGAAGCAGTTTTCAGCATGTGTCTACTCCTGGACAATGGAAGGAAGGAGCTACTGATACACGAATCACAAAGGCCTTACACTGAATGAATCAGCCAGTCTCCAAAGGTTATATACTGTCAGATCCCATTTATCTGACTTTCTTTTTTTTTTGGAGGTGGGGGAGGGGCAGAAGGAGAGAGCGAATGTTAAGCAGGCTCCATGCTGGCCATGGAGCATGGCCGAGTCGTGGGACTCGATCTCATGATCCTGGGATCATGACCTGAGCCGAAATCAAGAGTCGGACATTTAACCGACCGAGCCGCCCAGGCGCCATTATATGACATTCTTGAGGCCAAAACTCTAGGGTTGGAGAAAAGGCTAGTGGTTGTCAGGGGTCGTGAGTGGCGAAAGAAAAGGCATAGCAGGCGGGAGTTTTGGGGAGGAGGGGTAATGGAATTGTCGTGTATTCTGATTATGGGGACAGTTACATGAATCTGTACATGTGCTAAAATTCAAGTTGTACACCCAGGGAGAAAGTCAATTTTAGGGGCACCTGGGTGGCTCGGTTTGTTAAGCGTCTGACTTCAGCTCAGGTCAGGATCCCGGGGTCCTGGGATCGAGCCCCACATTGGGCTCTCTGCTCAGCTGCGAGTCTGTTTTTCCCTCTCCCTCCATGATCTCTCTCGCTTTCACTCTTTCTCAAATCAATAAATTAAATCTTTTTTTAAAAAGTCAATTTTAGGGCACCTGGGTGGCTCAGTCGTTAAGCGTCTGCCTTCAGCTCAGGTCACGATCCCAGTGTCCTGGGATTGAGTCCCGCATCGGGCTCTCTGCTCCTTGGGAGCCTGCTTCTCCCTCTGCCTCTCTCTGTCTCTCCCTCTGTCTCTCATGAATAAATAAGTAAAATCTTTAAAAATAAATAAATAAATAAATAAATAAATAAGTCGATTTTACTGTAGTGACAATTTTTCAAATAAGAAAAAGTGAACGATGATAATAATGCATGACATTTGCTTCCTACGTACCCAACGCTGTGCTAAGTGCAGTACCTCTAATATCTCATTTATTCCTCTCAATAAGCCCATTTGGTGCTTCGGTGAAACAACTTGTTCATGGTCATGTAGTGAGTGTGGCAGAGCAGAAACTTGAACCCATGTCCGTCTGACTCAAGAGCCCGAGATCTAACTGATCTGGAAACAAAGGCAGAAGAAACATTATTGAATTTCCTTACTACTTGCAGCCCATTGACAAGTCCTTGAGGCGGGCGGAGTGACATTCCTCTAGGGACTCAACTGCCTGGATGTTGACACTTTCCTAAGGGCAAAAAGGCAATCTTAGCTGGACCCCCAGGATCCTTTGGAATAAAAAAATTTTTTTTATTTTAACAAAAAAATTCCTTTGGAAACTTCCTTTATCTCTTACCCGCCCCCCCCATATAGGTTGGCAATCATCCCCCAAGGATATGACCCGCTGATATACATCTGAAGGGTCTCATTGAGTAAGGGACAGGCGGGGCTGGGTAGGGAGGGATGGGTAAGGGGCGACGGGATCAGGCTTCACAGAAATCCCAGAGATAAGAGAACAAACCAGACCACCCTGCCCTGCGGGTCGGAGGTGGGTTGCTTTTCGTTTTTTGTTTTTTTACCGGCAGTCACATTGTAAACAGACCCCAAAGAAGAGGTCAGCCATTAAAGATGTTATCACCAGTTCTTCCTCAAACCAAGACATCACAAGAATGTTAACGGCCACAGGCTCTGTGGTCTGTTCTAAATAAAAGACTTGTCAGTGGAGGCCCATGTTGGCAACCAGCTCGGGACCCCCTCTCCTGAGAGCTTTTTCGGTGTCCTTGCTTTACTCACTCTCCTTTGCAAGATTCATTTTTTGACACCGTGAAACAAGAACCTCGCTCTCTGGCTTCATGACCATAGTGCCTCATTTGGAGGAGAGGGCGGGAGTGGGAAGTGATCGCAGGGCGTGAAGACCCGGGCTTGGAGGGGTTCTCTTCTAATGGAGGAAAACTATCAGGGAGGTGGGGGAGGATTGGCCCCGGTTATGGAAGGGGCCACAGGGTTGAATTTATACCCATCTGCTTAAGATAACTCTTTGAGACCCCACCCCATTTTGCCAGGTTTCCCCCAGGGTCCAGGGCTGGGTAGCTGATTGGAGCCACACTCCACTGGAAGCCACCCTCACGCTGAAGGAAACACGTGACTGCACTGGTTAGAGCCTTCTGCCCAGGGCCAGGGGTGGGGAAAATGGGGATTGGCGGAGAAGGGGGCCTTTTTCATTTTTTTTTTTCCTATTTATACGTCCCATAAATTGACTTCTTTTCCTGTTTTTTAAAGAAATCTTTAATCTGTTGGACGGTGCAGGAAGGGGAGGGACAACTCAGAGCCTGCCCCTCAGATCACTGAAGTTGTCCCACAGAAGTCAGTGGACCTACTGAGTCCTCCATCCTGCAGGGTGAGCGGGGGTGACAAAGTGCAGGGAACATTCTGGTAAGAGGTAACACCAGAAGCAAGAGCCTGATGTTGGAGAGAAGCAGCACCTATTTAGCAAACTGCAGATGTCAGTGTGTCTCAGGACAGCTAAGCATTAAGCTCTAGGAACAGCATGTGGGAGCTGAGCCTGAGGGGGTGGGGGGCAGAGCATGCAGGGACGCCAAGCCGACTTTATCCTAAGGGCAAGTGGGCAGGCAGGGGTGGGGGTGGGGGGATGGTGACATTGAGAAGGGTTACTCGAGACTGGCGGACAGCAGCGGTTATATCCAGGTTATATCCAGGAGTGAGATTGCGTGGCCTGGAGTCTGCCAGTGGATAGGTTCAGAGAGTATTTAGGGAGTATGGACAGTCCTTGGAGGCGAATCAGGTTGGGAGTAGGGAGGAAGGGAGAACTCACAGAGGTCCGACTCAATAAAGATGCTTTTTCTTGAGATGGGGACACAGGAAGAGGTGGGGTTGTGAGGAGTTTGCTTGTGTAAACATTCTATTTTAGGTGCTCCTGGGTGGTCGGAGTGCAGATGCCCCTTTGGTGGTTAACTGCAACATTCCAGAGCTCAGGGAGAGCTGACCTGCAGTGCGGGCTTGGGGGCCACCAGCATTATGAATGGGTCTAAGGAGGCTTGGAAGTACACAACCTGACCAGGAAAAACTGGGAAGAGAGACCTGAAGAAGGACAAGGCACAGCCCCGGGCCCCCCACATCTTAGCTCAGTCATTCCCACACCACCCTCACTGTATTAGCCCTGTCAGTACACTTCTTCTATTGTCTTCTATTAAATAGAAACTTCTTCTAGTTCTCTCATTTTCAACGTGATGGATTTATTTCAAAGGAAAATTTACATAATGTGTGAAAAATCAACATCGTAGCCATGAAGAACATTGATGATAAACAAATACAATGGAAACATAGCAATATACTGCACAATTCTAGCTTGATAAAGGAAAGATGCAAATATTCGTCCTGCGTGCCCCCAAACTGAGACTTGGTCCCCAGAAGAAGCCAGGATTGGGAGAAAATCAAAAAGGAAGTAACTCGGGCGCCTGGGTGGCTCAGTTGGTTAAGCGACTGCCTTCGGCTCAGGTCATGATCCTGGAGTCCGGGATCGAGCCCCACATCGGGCTCTCTGCTCAGCGGGGAGTCTGCTGCTCCCTCTGACCCTCTTCCCTCTCGTGCTCTCTCTCATTCTCTCTCTCAAATAAATAAATAAAAGATCTTTAAAAAAAAAAAGGAAGT